GTGGTATAGAGCTCACATTTGGTGAAGACAAGACTGCTGCTGTTTGTGATGTCGGAGCCGCGCAGACTTTCCGTGAGCAGGGCGCAGACATGCTTGGTTGTGGCATTGCTTTTCGCGACAGTGTTGCCTGCAGGGACTGTGTTTTGCCTGTTGTTCCTGCTTACAAGCACCTTGGCGGTATTTTTAGCGCCACGTCCAAACCGGACTTGGAGATTTTCCTCCGACGTGCTGCAGCCTTGGGTCCTCTCAGGCCAGTGAGAGCCAAGCTTTTTGCATGCAGGGCTATACCACTGGCAACCAGACGCACACTGCTGTTCTCACTTGGCTTGTCACGTTTCATCCATGGGGCTGGAGCTTTACATCTCAATCAGAAGGGTCACCAGCGGGCCTGGCACGCGGCGTATATCAGTATCTGGGCGCATTTGGTTCCCAACCTTCCAGTGGGCAAGCCGCACAGTTTCCATGTGTTATACGTTGCTAAAGCGCCACCACCGCACCTTTTTCTGGCACTGCAGAGGGCTGCTCTTTTGACTAAACTGGTGTCTCAGCGCTTCATTGCAGTTCTGCACATGCTTCAGCTTGAATGGGAAGTCAATCCTGCAGAATCATGGCTCACTCAATTGGTTCATGATGTCTCAGGTGTTGCACAGTGGGTTCCAGCTGCGCATAGCCTTCAGCGCTGTGACTGGCCGATACATGAGCTGTGTAGACAGGTTGTGGCCTGTCCTTCATGGTGGAGTGCAGTCATTAGGCAGGCTGTCAAAGATTACGCCGCTGACATTGTCAAATGGAAGGGACTGCCGAGGGTAGTTTCTGTCCCGGATGGTGGTGCATTCCAGTGTCACATCTGCCAAGCTTCCTTCCCCCAGCGCAGCTTCCTCTCAGTGCATCTTGCGCGCAGGCATCAGTTATGGGCTCCTGCACGTCACTTTGCTCAAAGCCAACAATGTGTCGCATGCCTGAGGACCTTTGCAACAGTTTTGTTGGCGCAGGCGCATTTGAGGAGGAACCCATCCTGCTTGAGGCGCGCTGTTTGGCTGATGGAGCCCTTGGAGCTGAGCTCTATTATCGAAGCAGAAGCAGCGGACAAGCTTGCTAGCAAAAAGGTCCAGAAAGGCGGGTGGCAGCAGCAACGCATTGTCACGAAGGCTCGCGCTGGACCGCATCACGTCACTGCTGTCGACATCGAAGCAGATCCGGAGTCTTTTTCGATTGCAGTAGTGGCCAAGCGGTTTCGGCCCAGGGCAAGTGTTTCTCGATGGGTCGAGGAGTACTTGTCTGGATCGACTCGGGCTGGGCCGAGGCAACGTGCGGTTTGCTGGTGGCACGCCAAGCCAACAGACGTGAATTCGTTCTAGCACGTAGTTTTTTAGAGCAGGCGCGTCCAATAAGGGCGCTCGACCGACTGCTGACAAAGTGGACAAAAGTGGTCCTTGAGGACACTTTGGCTGCTGATGATCTCCACGTGATTTACAAAGCTCCCCACACACACAGATGAGGACAGTCGTCAGGGTAGTCAGGAGGGCTCTGTTTCGTCCGGGGCGAGGGACTCCTTCACGTTCTGGGATTCAGAGCGCGTTTGTGGCCCAAGCTTCTTCGTTGAGCTCTGGGCTCTCCTGTCGCAGCATCTCAGAGCTGAAGAGCCATCATCGCAGGGACACTTACAATCAGGGCTGCCATGGAGAGGTATCTCGATTCACTTCATGTTCAGCCGGCGGTGCGATCGTTGTGTGTGGATTTGAACCGGGAGTGGGAAGGCCTTTTCAAAGGTCCGCTTGATCAGCAGCTGTGCGATGAGTTGGCCCTTCTTGAGAACAAACGCCTGTCCCCTACGAAGTCACAGCGCCGCTTCATCTTGATTAGTCGAGTTGAGTTTCAGCTGGCAATAGAGCAATACTCAGAACATGTGCGAGGACTGGTCCGAGACATGATTTTCAAGGTCACAAATTACACATCATAGCTGGATACCAATGGTTTGATGGTCATTGCCCTCCCTACGGAGATCCGTAGGGCGCATATCAATAGGGTGCGCTACATGGTTCGTTGAAAACACTAAAGCAGGTTTCTGAGGTCAAGAATGCTCGATTGCCATGGCTTTTTCATGCGCGCTCCACTAGCGAGAAGGAAAATCATGCTGCACACTGATCAGTGACGTTTTTCTGTTCTTTTCGTCTTCTGGCATCCTCTTCTCAGGTCACGCTTCAAAATGTTCTTTAAAAAACCCCAACGTGGGTGCGCAACTGCAGTTTCTTGTCTCTGTGTAGAGTCTTCGCGTTAATCTTCCACTTTACGCTGTGCCACGTACGGTGATGTGGATGAAGTGCTGGCGCCTCGGCCGAATTCCTTTTGCTGATGGTCTCTCTAAAGGAGCTTCTGTCATCGTCCTGTTGGACCCAAACCACGCCATGCAGCCTCATGGCTGTAGCGCCCAGAGAGTGAAGATGATGATGATGATGATGATGATGGCTGTCAACAATGGCCTCTAGCCATATCATGCCCATGATCATGACTTGATGATGACGATTGCAATGAGGATAGTGACGGTGAAGTTGTTTGGAACAGTGATGATGCTGATGGTGGTCATCACAAATCATTATTGTTAATGATGATGACGACGATGTTGGTGGCGCAGAGACATGGGTGGCCAATGTACGTCGGGAAAGCACAAGCATGCTCACGCTGAGCTCGCTATGTTTCTAGGCGACTGCTGATGATGAAGATAGCAATAAAGAAGAATTATGATAACGGCAGTGGCAACCACAATGAGAATGAAACGAAGATGAAGAAGGCCGCGACGATATGAGCATGTTGGCGACGATAACGGAAATGGCACATGCAGCTGATGGCCAAGAGTAACTAGCATGAGAAGCTTTGACTCCCACCATGCACCCCTACCCCAACCTCTGATAGAATTAGCAACTTGCCAACTTGAAGACTTGCCCCTGCAGCCCAGCAGAAGGCTAGCCATGGCTTTCATGAATCTTTTTGCAAGCATCGGTATCACAAGGCATGGGCCAGCCTCCTTCACCTCTACCGTGTAGCGCTCACCTGAAGCTCGATATGTCAGAGCTTTTTAGCAGGAACGACAGCAAGCATCAAGATGAGCCATAGTCTAAACTCCTAGCATCCCCTTAACAACCCCTGTAGTAGTCACCTATATAATCTCTTGTAGAACCCCCTTTTAGCGGTTTAGATTATGGCTCAGATGGTCCTGATTCTGTGGCAATGAGAGGCCCCGGCAATCGCTGGCCTTGTCCAGCTGCAACTTTGGGAAGCGATTGAGCAAGGCCTTCAAGTGAGGACGCAAACGCGCACATCTGAAACACACAGCTCCATCTCACATCATCTCAAAATGGTGATCCCCTCAAACCTGCCCGAACACCAGCATGTGCTGTGCCAGTTGTGCAAAAACCCTATCTTTCAGCCAACCCCCAATGCAGTACCTGTCAAAGAAAAGAGCCCCTCATATACCCTCCATTTCAAAACCTTACTCGGAATATAATACGAAAAACCTCCATAATTTTGCGAATCTGTCATGTCGGAAGCATCGGATGTTGCCTTCGGAAGGCGTGTGAGCTGGTAAGGGCAGTTCCTCAGACAAGGGAATACATTACTACTAGCTCAATGCGCCTAGCAGTATAAGAGTTGGAAAATCCCGTCACCTGTCTGTCCACATTAACATCAGCAGATGCAAAGCTGCAAACGCATCGCAAATCTTTCCGGGCAGTGTACCAACTGTGCTGCTGTTCCTCCGACTTCATGATGATCTCAGCAGTACAACTGTAATGGGGCTGCATGCTTTGCTCCTGGCTGATGCAAGGCCACTGCATTCATACCGCGTGGGCCCTTGCGCAGCAGCATAAAGCCTTGGGAAAAGCGGCACGTTGCAGTACAAGATGGCGCGAGCTGTGCACCAACAATCGGGCTAATGACAAGATTGGAGTGAAGCTTGGACGAAGAGCACTGAGTCGCAGGCCAGAATCGCCCAGGTTGGCAACTCCAATTTGATTTCCTGGACGGCCCCACGCACGCAAGGCAGACAATGGCAACTAGGAGAGCGCCCGAATCACTGTTGCCTTGCTGGCAGAGCACAGCAACTGTGGATGCTCCGTACGCCTAAGCGCAGTCACTTGGCTTATCACAAACGGCAATTTGCACCTCGGCGTTTTCCACCCAGCTCGCACTGCTCCAAGCTCCGTGCGGAGGCATGCGACTCACCGTGTGCAAGTGCCACAGCGGCCCGCTCCGCAACATCATCCCCTGGCGCGAGCAACAGTTCATGGACGTTTGCAAGAATGCAAAGGGAATTGTCTGCCGGAGGTGCGGATCTTGGTGTCGGATGCCACGCCATCTGGCCTGAGCTACACGGATTAGAAAGCATGGCAACCATGGCAACCGTGTTACCACCTCTGAGTCTTCAGCTTCAGAGCGGTGCACGAAAATTCCATCCTGACATCATGGACATGTGCAGAGAGGCAAGCACAGCGGTAGCCTTGCAGAAGCACAGGGAGTCCAAGGGCGGCTCAGCTCTGCGGCGTACTGCGCAGCGTTGATCCCATAGCTGGCGAACTGCACCTTGCTCAGGCCCAGTGGGCAGTTCTACAGCAAGCCGCCAAGCCTAAGGGCGCAGCCATGCAGCCGACTCCATCAGCTACACCCATGCCATGGGGATCAACAAAGTACGCGTCCTCACCTGGCGATTTGAGTGGTTCCAACGGTCTATGCGCGGAAAGTAGAATAGCTTAGCCATGAGCATGCCCCGTGGGCTTTCTTGATCAGGTGCGCGCCAGCCTCAGTCTTCCAATGAGGCACCCCTTAAGAAGAACAACACCGGCAAAGCAAGGCCGCTGGCCCACAAACGCAGGGCGGCTCCTGTATTCAGGCGGCCGTTGTTGTACATCTTCGTAACAGATCAAGGTTTGTATCCTTCGTCCAGCTGATCCTTTCCTGCAGGAGGAGCTGGCACTTCCGGGAGAACCTGGCAAAAAAAGCCCTGGAGGCTGTGCAAATGAAACAGATCTTTCAACATAAGCAATGTATGAGTTCCGAACGACCCCATCCAAACGGAGCATGAGCTCCCGGTCGAAGAGCCCTGCACACGAGTTGTCGTGGTGGTGGTGGTGGTGGTGGTGGTGGTGGTGGTGGTGGTGGTGGTGGTGGTGGTGGGGGTGGGGGTGGTGGTGGTGGGGG